TCGTACAAGCGCTGTAATAAACACAGGCCTGGACATTTCTATTTGATCTCTCTGATACTCCATTTGATTTTTTTTTCTTGTACATGAAAGTTAGCAGCTACTGCTTAATTTCTAAGAGTTTCAGTATTTTGCATCTGCCACGTTGTTACCAATTTCTGCTGAAAACAGTAAAGGCAGTGAATACATTTTCTGTGATCTCAGGCTTTTTTTCCTTTCAGTTTTAGTTTTATTGCCCAGGGATCTGGTCTAAATCTGGTCTACTTTGGTAAATATATACTTGCCCTATGGAAATGTATATATTCTTCAGTAGTTTCATGTATCGTTTCTGACGTGACTATGGAAGGGATGTGGCTGAGGGGTAGCCCACTTCCGTAGGCAGGGCCTAGGGGTTCAACCACACCTAAATAAAACAACAAAAATAAACATTAAGCTGGGCCAGATAAATGTATTGTTTGATTTTTCTCTATATTGATTAAATACTTTATTTTACAAACTCCTCAGAAAGGGCTTGTGCTTTTTTTTTTTTTTTTAAATCACAGTTATAGATGTATTTGTAGCGTTTTTCTCTGCGATTCTTTCCCTTGGCCAGCATGAGCCCTCCTCTGTCTTACCTGCTCCTTGCTTGCTTCATTCTCCTGCACTCCCAGGGTTTCCATCATCCGCCGCTCCCCCCTTTTGCATGTGTTCTACTCGCTCTTCTGGAACACTGACTCACCCTCAAGTTATTCAGGTTTCTGTTGCAGTGACAAAATTCCTGAGAAAAAATAATTTAAAAGTGGAAAAGTTTATTTTGGCTCTCAGGTTCCATAGCAGTCTCCACTGGTTTTTAAGCTGTTGCGAAATCCAGCAGATTGGCTCAGGGCACGCGGTGGAGCAGGGGACTTAGTGGAGCCAGGAAACATAAAGAAAGGGAGTGACCGAGAAAGGAAGACAGAGAAGAGAGAATCTTTAGACACGGCTAGCCCTTTAAGAATATGCCCCTTGTCATCTGATTTCTCCAAAGAGGCCCCACTTCCTAGTTTCCACCACCTCCCGATAATGCTGTCACGTTACAAATACAGCCGTTGGCTATGTATCAATTATGCCAGAGCACTCCAGGTCATTTCCCCCAGTCCCCACCTCTGACCATTCATTGACCATGCCCGGGGAGACATTGCATGCTCAGATCATGACTACCGTGATGGGTTGTTCAGACATGTTCCTTCTAAGTCTCCCTTTCAGCCACGGGGATTTCCTATTGTTTCTGTCTTCAGACTCCAATGCTCCACTCCAGGCTGCTGCACGTTGCCCACACTCTCCTCACTCAGTCGCTTCTTCTTCTTCTTCTTCTTCTTCTTCTTCTTCTTCTTCTTCTTCTTCTTCTTCTTCTTCTTCTTCTTCTTCTCTTAAAATTTTGTCAGTGCTTTGCATAATTGCTGAGGCATTCTATGAGTAATAAAGTATATTAAGGTTTTTAAGCTCATAATATCCAACTCACTTTGCATCTAACATGTCATTTTATTTTCATTTTTAAATTTTTTTCTTTAATTAAAAATTTTTATTTGTATTATTTATTACAATTTATTCACTTTGTATCCCAGCTGTAGCCTCCTTCCTTGTCTCCTCCCAGTCCCGTTCTCCCTTCCTCTTCCGCCCACCCCCCGCCCCCCGCCCCATGGCCTCCTCCATTCCACTGATAGAGGAATTCCTCCTCCCCTTCCATCTGACCCTAGCCTATCTGGTCTCATCAGGACTTTGTGGATCCTCTTTCTCTGTATCTCATGTCAGAGACAGCCCCTGCTTCCCTTACTAGGGAGCCCACTGAGCTGCATCATAGCAGGGGGTCTAGGTTATATCTATGTCCTTGGTTGACTCATCAGTCTCTGCAGGTCACCCTGAGCACAGATTTTTTTTTTGGCTATGTTGCTCTCCTTGTGGCACTCCTGTCCCCTCCAGGTCTTTCTGTCTCCCCCTTCTTCCATAAGATTCCCTCCACTCTGCCCAAAGTTTAGCTATGAGTCTCAGCATCTGGTGGGTAGAGTCTTTTAGAGGTCCCTGTGGAAGGCTCCTGTCTTCTTCCCTGTCTTCTACTTCTGATGTCTATCCTGTTTGCCCTTCTGAATGAGAATTAAGCATTTTTCCCTAGGGTCATCCTTGTTATTTAGCTTCTTTAGGAGTATAGATTAGACAGTGTGTTTATCTTATATTATATAGCAAATATTCACTTATAAGTAAATATATACCATTTATGTCTTTCTGCTTCAGAGTTATCTCACTGAGGATGATCTTTTCTAGTTCCATCCATGTGCCTGTAAATTCCATGATTTCCTTGTTTTTAATTGCTGAGTAGTAGTATTCCACTGTGTAAATGTACCACAATTTCTACATCCATTCCTCAGTTGAGGGACATCTGAGGTGTTTCCAGATTCTGGCTATTACAAATAAAGCTGCTATGCACATAGTTGAGCAAATGTTCCTTATTGAATGATGGAGCATCTTTTGGGTACATGCCTATAAATGGTATAGCTGGATCTTGAAGTAGCACTATTCTTAATTGTCTGAGAAAGCACCAGATTGATTTCCAAAGTGGTTGCACAAGTGTACATTTCCACCAGCAATGGAGGTGAGTTCCCCTTTCTCCACATCTTCTCCAGCATGTGTCATTCCTTGAGTTTTTTATATTAGCCATTATGATGGGTGTAAGGTGGAATCTCAGGGTCATTTTGATTTGCATTTCCCAAATGACTAAGGGCTTTGAGCATTTCTTTTTTTAATTTAATTTTATTTTATTAATTACAGTTTATTCACATTATATCGGAGCTGTAACCTCCTCTTCCACCCCTCCCAATCCCACTCTCCTTCCCTCTTCTCCTATGCCCCTCCCCCAGTCCAATGATAGGGGAGGTCCTCCTTCCCTTCCATCTGACGCTAGCTTATCAGGTCTCATCAGAACTGGTTCATCATCTTCTGCTGTGGGCTGGTAAGGCTGCTCCCCCATCAGGTGGAGGTGATCAAAAAGCCAGCCACTGAGTTCATGTCAGAGACAGCCCCTGTTCCCATTATTAGGGTACACACTTGGACACTGAGCTGCCATGGGCTACATCTGTGCAGTGGTTCTAGGTTATCTCCATGCATGGTTCTTGGTTGGAATATCAGTCTCAGAAAAGACCCCTGTGCCCAGATTTTTTGGTTCTGTTGCTCTCCTTGTGGAGCTCCTGTATCCTCCAGGTCTTTCTATCTCCCCCTTCATAAGATTCCCTGCACTCTGCCCAAAGTTTCGCTATGAGTCTCAGCATATGTTTTGATACCATGCTAGATATAGTCTTTCAGAGGCCCTCTGCAGTAGGCTCCTGTCTTGTTCCCTATTTTCTCCCTCTTCTGATGTCCATCCCATTTGCCTTTCTGAATGAAGATTGAGCTGATGCCCAGGCCTGTATCGTGTGTGTGTGTGTGTGTGTGTGTGTGTGTGTGTGTTTCTTTTCAGTTTGTTTATGTGGTGGATTATATTGATGGATTTCGGCATATTGAACCACCCCTGCATGACTGGGATGAAGCCCACTTGGTCATGGTGGATGATATCTTTTATTTTTTTAATTTTTCTTTATTAATCACACTTTATTCACTTTATATCCTCCAGATCCTTCTGCCTCAGTCTCCCAAGTGTGAGATTTCTGGGTGATGGTCATACAGGCCTGGGCATCAGATCACATATATACCTATGTGTTTTGGGGTAGGTATATTCCAGAAGAGAACAGAGGATCCCCTAAAGCTAGAGAGTTTCAGGCATGCAATTGAGAGCCACCTGACTTGGGTGGATGAAAACCAGACTTGAGTGATCTCAGTAGGAGAAGGTATTTTCTAAAGAATCCTTTTCTAAAAAGAAAAAAGGAAAAAAAAAAAAAAGAGGCGGTTTCTAGCTTACCATAGGCTGTTAACATCACCCATCGCATAAAACTGCCCATAACCTCCCCCCCCCCAACTGTTGGATTATACAGGTTTCTGCCCTGCCAAACTCATCTCAAGTAATCAAGTAACGTAGATTTCTTAGAACGACGGTAAAGGAAGGACTCCAATGGCATTTTAAAAGCTAGCCGAATTTACTCTTTTTGGGGCTAAATGCTGCATGTATTCAACCGAACTGGGGAGTAAAAGTCAAAGGGACTGTGATGGCCCTTATCTCTCTCTCCATCCGTTCTGAGTTTCCTGCATCTCAGAACAAAGCCGTGTTTGTGAAGGACGTTAAGGTTTGCTTGGCCTTCTCCTTCGCCCCCAGTACACCGTGGACCTTATTGCAAGGTTCTGTTCGCTGGGCTGACTGATACATAAACAGAAGACAGATGGCGTGGAGATGGCTCAGATGATAACTCATTTTTCAGCTAGTCATGAAGATATTTTGATTACAGTGTGTTTAAGTAATTACAACCCTGTCCGCTGTACTAGGCTTGCTGGGAAGGGAGCACATGGAAAAGCAGTTATGTGTTATTCGTGCCCAGCAAAAGATGCACTGTGGCGTGAGGGTTTTAATTCCTAATGCTATATTAGGACTGCAGGAGTTTAAAATACGTCAGACCTTAGGTGAGTCAATTCAACCGAGACCAAATAAAAAAGGTGTGTCCACAACTCTGAGGTATACATGCTTTGTTTTGGAGAGGCTTTAGATGTTATTATGTGGAAAAAAAAAAAAACAAAAACAAAAAAAAAAAACAAAAAAAAACACCAGTATTTTTACGTAGAGGTAACAGTCTGGGAACAGCTAATTAAGACATCGTGTGGCTTGATTTTAGATTACACGAATCCTAATTGTCATTCAGCGTGCTTTCTGAGTTGCGAGGACGGAAACTAAAATCAGAGGGCTTCAGCACTCAATGGTGTGTGATTCCGCCTGTCCCGGGAGTCCTGATCCAAAGAGACCTCAGCAGAATGCCTGGGGAAAGTTGGAATTGTGCGACTAGGCAGCTGCTTGCCTTTTCCCACCCGTTTACAGGTCGTAGTTCACACCGCTGTTTCTGGCTCCTCCACAGGATAATCGACCGCTTAGACGGAGTTCGCTTGCTGTGGTCCCTGCTCAAAAACCCACACCCAGACGTGAAGGCCAGCGCGGCGTGGGCGCTCTGTCCCTGCATCGAAAATGCCAAGGTAGAAGGGCTTGCAAACCGGCGTGTTCTAGAACATCTGAGCACTTGAATAGCGTCAGCACCAGCTGCAGATTTACCTGAACTCGCCGTTGGTGAGACTGACCTGGGAGAAAAGGAAGGCTAAACATTTATACTAAAATGATTTCCGGCTCTGCTTCCCTCTGGTCGTTGGAAAGATACCACACATATGAATCTAGACAACGGTACCGGCAATGTAGCCTTGCTGAGATGAGAACACTGACGTTCCATTTTCTGTTGCTTACAGGGAGGACAAACCGGGGGCCCTTGGCTGTTTTTCCAGGGTTACGGCAGCAGGAACGGCAGGGTGTCCCTGAAAAGGTCACTAAACATTAATGGCCAGATCCAAAGTTTCTTCATGTGTTGGAAGAATCTGTTTGTTACAGTTATTTTAGTTTTCATCTGTGCATTTTGTTATTTTTCTTCAGATATCCGTCTTCGGCCTTGTTCTCTTTTTGTGGCGCTGGGGCGGAGTCTGGGTCTCATGGGTGCTATGAAGGTGCGCTACTACTGAGCCAGGCGGTAGAGACGGAGTCTCGGTTGCCAAGCTGACCGCAGCTTACAGGCAGGTCTTGGGATCCGCTCCCTCAGCCTTCCTCCCAGGCAGCTGTGATGGTAGGCATGTGCCGGCATACAAAACCACCCCTCTCACACCTTTACTTCACAGTTCCTAATTTCTCCGAAAGACTCTCGCCACTAAGTATCTTCTGAAGAATTAATTTCTATAAAAATGTAGCACGACCCAAATTATCATCCTAAATGTGAAAAGGTGAGGTTTGCTAAGAGTAGATTTTGACTTTGCTGTTGTCAAATCATTATTGAACCATTATTTTTATCACAGCAAAAATAAACAAAAAAATAAAGATCTCAAGTGTCTACCTAGAGGAAAATGAACATTAGAACAACAGTCAATTCATGTTGTATTATACAGCACAGCAACAGAAAATAGGTTTATTTAAGTAATGTGTTCTCAGTGTTGTCGTGTCTTACAAAATGTACTAAACCAGGGGGTGAGTGGCAGTATCTGTATAACATGATTTCTACTAAAATGCAAACAAGACTTAGTATGAAATTTAACTATTACTTAGGAAGCAAGAAAGTAGCCCACTGGTTAAAAATTAACACATCCTGTGCTCGTAGGGTAATTCTTACCAAGCTCCTACACCTGCCATCTCGGCCCTTCATTCATAGATGTTCATAAACATTAAACCAAGAACAAAATATTTAAAAAATATTAATGGTGCTAAAACACAAGCCAAGATTAGCAGAACAAGCTCACAGAGGTAAGGTGAGGCATAAAACACACATTTAAAATTTCAAACACTGAATCTCCTTGCAGATCTAAAGGAGAACAGTGTGTCCAAATAGATGGTTATAACAAAAATTCTGATAAAGGGAAGTTTTTTCTTTTTTTTTTTTTAAAGTGACTTAACAAAACAGCATGGTAGCTCACACCTATAATTCCACAGCTTGGGGAGTCTGAGGCAGGAGGTTCAACATGAGCCCAAGGTCAGCCTGGACTATATATTAAGTTATATATCTACCTGGGCTATGATATGAGATCTTATTTCAAAAAAGCTTGAAACATTATTTAAACAATATATTTAACATTACTACTAAGGTTTGTGTGACCAGATAATTATCTGGAAGATAAGGTCTGGTGATAACCAAGAATGCAAGCAGAGTAAAAACAAAGCAGGATGTGACAGCAAGTGGAAAAGAAGAGGGGAACATAGGCGAGCAATCAGAGTTTTTTGAGGAGCTTCCCTAAGTGAGACTCTCTAAATTGGAACAATCTACAAGTGCCAGTCAGGGAAACCGGCCGGCAAATACCTATACCTGTACACAAATTTAAACATTCGATTCCCAGAAACCAAAGAAACAAAACAGTCACACGAACATTAGGCTTAACAGTGTTTTCTTCTGTTATTTCTCACTAGCTCTCTGAAAAGTTTGAATAATGTATGTTAGTCATAGTCACCCCTCTTTCATCTCCCAGCGTCTCCCAGGCCTACCCCCTTCTACACCCACCTAACTTTGTGTCCTGTTTTTAAAAACCCAGCAAGGCCGACTTGTCTGCCTATGCTGTCCTGGTTGTGTGGCCTTCTGCGGAGCATGGAGGACCTATGAGGGGACATAGCACCTCAGCATATGTTTTGATACCCTGCTGAGTTTCAGAGGCCCTTTGTGATATGCTCCTGTCCTGTTCCCTGTTTTCTTTGAGGACTTGGGATACACCTTTCCTGACCCTTATATCTTTTTTTCTCATTTATTTTATACACTTTGCATCCCTGTAGCCCCTTCCCTCTTTCCCTCACAGTCCTACCCCCCCCTCTCTCTCACTTCCCCCCCCGTCCCTCAGAAAAGAGGAGCTCCCTTTCCCATCCACTCCAGCTCAACAAGTGCATCAGGACTGACCATGTCCTCTTCCCCTCTGGCCTGGCAAGGCAGTCCCACCAGGGGAAAGTGATCTAAAAGCTAGCTAGATGTCCCTCATCTGAATAATGGATAAAGAAACGGTGGCACATTTACACAGTGGAATACTACTCAGCCATTAAAAACAAGGAAAACATGAAATTTGCAGGCAAATGGATGGAACTAGAAAAGATCATCCTGGGTAAGGTCACCCAGATCCAGAAAGACACACATGGTATGTACTCACTTATATGTAGATTTTAGCCATAAAGTACAGGATAAGCAGACCCAAAAAGATTAGTAACAAGGAGGGACTGAGTGAGGATGCGTAAATCTCACTCAGAAGGAGAGAGACCAGACAGAGGTAACGGCTGAACAAGGTAGGAGAAGGGGCACAGAGAGTTAAGAGGGTGGAGATCAGACCTGAGGAGTGAAAAGGTGAGAGGACAGAAAGCTGTAGACAAAAGAAACACTGAGGGTGGGGACATCTCTGTGATGTCCTTAGCCTCTTAGCTGGAGGCCTAAGTCAGGGTAGGCTCCTGGGAGAACATGAGGGAAATTTTGGCCCTTGTATCTTAAAGGTCACTTCACTTCAGTAATCAAGTGTTATCATAAAGAACCTACCTTTATAAATGTGACCTGACCTTTTTTTTTTTTTTTCAGTTTGTAATGTGTTTTCTTTATTCTGCGTTTGTAATGTTTTAACTATAATGTGTCATGGAGAATTTCCTTCCTGGTCTCGTCTAGTTGGTATTCTGTACGCATCCTGTATCTGGGTGGATATCTCTTTCTCTAGGCATGGGGGATTGTCTTCTATGATTTTACCTTAATTCTTGGTGATCACTGAAATTATCCTGCCTGATGTAGAGTCCGAAGGTACGGATGGTACCTTTGTATATTTTACATACAAAGCATTTCCACGTCGTGCTGTTATTACATGCACGTTTTATCCTCTTTCTCATGGACTTCATTTCCAAATCTTCCTGGTTATCTTCTCCTGGGAGTAAGAGAAACAGTCATTTCCATCGTCATGATGTCTGTGCAATCATTGGTTCCTGATTATCCGGCCGGTCTTCTGTTAGATCAGTCTATGGTGGACTCCAGTCAAACGGAAACATTACCCAGCACACTTCTCCTTTAGACCAAAGCTTCCTAGAGAGCAATTCCCCTCAGCCCATTTCTCTTGCATGCTGCCTGCTCTCTGCTCGCTCCCCATCAACTCAGCACAGGACTTTGCAGCCATGTGTTCGTCTTACTCGTTCTGAGGAGGAAGGAGCACGTGAACGGCCATCTCTTTCTGGCACCTTCTGTCACTGACTGTCGGACTCTCCTGCCATGTCCAGTTGTTGCTTAGGCAGCACGAGCATTTGAGGGGTCTTAAGCGAGCCTGGATCATTTGAGACCGCATGAGTGGTGACCAATGAAGCTGCTGCAGCAGCATAGACGGGAACAATTAGCATTGAACCCAACACAGCAGCAGGGTGACTGGGAATTGCAAATGTGAGGAGTACTTGAGAAATACAGTCAGAACTGGTACCTGAAGGGGCGGCTGTGAAGAGGTGGTCAGCAAAGGTATTTTTGTTTGCTTATCTTTGACAATCGGCACGTGTTGCAAGCTTCATCAAACACAGGAGGAATACAATTTTGGGGGCGGGGCAAGATGGTGAATTTGCTTTCATTCAGGTGGAAAAGGCCAGGCATTTAGTATATAAATCTGGAGATGTGTGTGTGAGAGAGAGAAAGAGAAAGAGAGAGGGAGAGGCAAAGACAGAGTCAGAGAGGCAGAGACAGAGAGACACTGAGAGGAGAGAGGAGAAAGAGGAGGGAGGGGAAAGGAGAGGGAGTAGAATAAATGGAGAACCTAGCAACAGTGCAAAGACAAAAAGGAAGTCTGGGGAGTGAGAGCCTGACTAGGAAAGAGGACTGCAAGAAAATACAGGAAAGACCAAATCCAGGAGAGGGATTAGTCAACAGTGTCATTGGCCCAAAGACGGCAATTTAGTGCTTTGACAACGGAAAAGAAGACGCTAAAGGTGAGCTATTTATGGTCAGTGGTCATCGCTTCCTAGTGGGACTTTATACCAGATACTAAAAGATGAGCAATGAAGTGAGAGAAGGAAAAGAGGGGGAAATTAATAGTTCTTTCTAGAAGCTTTGTGACAGGGAGGCTACATGAAAAAAATAGAGAAGATAATTTAGACTTATGTGACATAAGTTCCTCTTATTCATTATGGGAATGGCGTGTATGTCTATCATCTATCAAGTTATCTGTCATCTATCTGTATTTGTTACCTATCTCTCTATCATCTGTCTATCCAGCTGTCTACTAATTGGCCTCCATCCATCCATCATCTGTCTCCTATTATATAGGTAGAGATAGAGTGAGCTTCGACATGGGGAAAGGAAGCTCTGGCTCTTTCTGTGCCTCAGTCTTACAAGTGCATTGAGTAAGCAGTATAAAAATTGTTTGTGGAGGGACATGTCAGTCAAAAGAACAATGCTAGTGTATAAACATCCTGACGGGAGTCCAGTGAATCAAAGGCAAAAGTTTTCTGGGGAGAATCACTG